CGAAGATACTGGAGTGTTTTGCCGTTTCCTTCTCCAGTTCATTTTACAGATGAGGAAGCTGAGACCTACAGGGTTACACAGCTAGTAAGTGTCTTCGGCTGGATTTGAACTCATGAAGATGAGTCTTCCTGATTCCAAGCCCAGTGCTCTATCTATTGTGCCACCTCACTTGCCTCACATAGGTTAATAGTCAAGGAGATAATGTGACTTCTGAGTCTTAGAATCTATGATGGTTAGTGGCCATTAGTACTTTGAACACATTTCCCAAGAGCTCATCTGGTACCATGACCCACGCTTCATTTGTAAATGGAATAAGACAGTGTTCTTGAGATAGCAGAGATACATTTGCCCAGTGCTTGAAGAAATCTTTGTGTTCTTAGTTCATTCTTTAAAAAAGATTGACATTGCAATCACCCCCCTCACTGAAGTTGGTAAGATTCAAAGACCTACCCTGTCTGTTTTACTCATGCATAAACTGAAAGGGTTAGATCTCTCAGATCTATAATGTTGCTTTCTGTGAACCATAAATGTGTTTCCTAAGCCCTGTAAGGAATTTCAAAATAATGTCTCTAATAGGTATAAAAACTCCTCAAATAGAAAGTGCTTTTTTATATTGAACTGGAAAATGGCTTTCCTGTAACTCCCTACACCCAATCCAAGTTCTACCCTCAGAAATTATATAATAATAATTTCTGAGGTACAGTAAAAGCCTTTGTCATTGTCACATTTGATCAGTGGATAAAGGCTTAGGGAATCTTCCAAAGGAGCTCCTTGTGACTATATCCTTTCCTCTAATTCCTTCCATGATATTATGTACCATCTTTTATGGGCAATGTAGGCCATACTTGGTTTTCGTGGAAAATCAAGAGCCCTAATGAAATAATCTACCAATTCTCTTTTATTCAAGAACTTGTGTTTGAGAACGAGTATTTAATTCAACCAATCAACAAGCATTTATTTATCACCAATTATGTGCCAAACACAAGAGATACAAAGACAAAAACAGAACCGACTGTCCCCTGCCCTCAAAACATTCACATTTTATTTGAGAGGGGCGAATTCACTTTTAAATATCAGCACATCACCTTGAAACCAATTGCTAAGTCCCATTTGAAGATAGTAGAGTTAATACTAATTCACTGTTCTGAAAAAAAAAGGTCTTGAATTAATTTATGTGATTTACTTCTGTTAGTTCTCAGAACAGCCAGTTTCTATTCTGCTCTTTCCATGCATTATGAAGCCACTTCTGTTTTTTTCCTTTTAAAAACTTAATGAAATACCTTCACTTCTCTTATTTGAATATGAAAACTTTTACTGTTTTAGAAGATGATGATGAGTACTTTCCTAGAATGAAGATATTAGAGATTAAAAACCTGATGCTTGGAAAGCATAATTTTCTTAAACAAATTATCTCTCACTTGACTCTGTGATTTGACTCTGGCTAGGAGAGTAGAGGGAGCAGGTAGGTGGTGAAGTAGATAGAGTGCTGGGCCTGGAGTCAGGAAGACTCATCTGCTCGAGTTCAAATCTGGTCTCAGACACTTACTAGCTGTGTGACCCTGGGCAAGTCACATAACCCTGTTTGCCTCAGTTTCCTCATTTGTAAGATGAGATGGAAAGGGAAATGGCAAACCACTCTAGTATCTTTGTCAAGAAAACTCCAAATGAGTTTTCAAAGGGTTGGACATGATTGAATAACAAGGAGGAAGTTTAGGTTTGTGAGAATTACAAAAAACGTCATGGGAGACTTTTGTTTGTTAGTTGAAGCAAAGAACAATATTGCATTCTTGTTACCAATAAAATTTGTAGAGTATATGACCTTTATTTTCTCTCTGTATTCTTATCATTGTTTGAACAATATTGCTAAAGAAGTATGAGTATTTTTTACTTAAATACTAAAAAAACTATTACTAAGTTATTGTTAGATGAAGGGAAAAAACTCTTTTTTTCTGGAAGAAAACATTTGATACAATAAAAGTTTTTAGAGAAGTATTTACAGATGACTATAGGAAATAGCACCTTGGGTAAGTTCAAACACTCAATACCCCCCCCCCCCTTGAAAAAATAGATTAACAAAAACCCCTCACCCTCCTTTTAAGCTTGAGATAGAAAGGTAGGGTCAGTTAGGCAGTAAATATTTCTGAAGTGCTTACTGTGTGAGGGCACTATGCTGAACACAGGATATATAAAGGTAGGTAGCTTGTGTGTATGTATGAGCGTATACTAGTCCCACTTCTGACATATTGGCTGTGTGAACATGAACAAACTACTCATTAAATTCTTGTTCATTAAATGAACAGAGCCTACTCATGGTCGTTTTTACAAGCAGGTGACTTCCTATCTGCAAATGGAGAGATCTCCAAATCCAATGATCTCCATCTGGAGGCCATAACAAATAGAGACATATATGAATAGATGAAAAAGCCATGAAACAAAAACATGGTCAAAATATTTATTGATTTGATTAAAAAGCTGCTAGAGTACATCTGGAAAAATGCCATATCATAAGCAAGAAGTATATTTTTACATTTTTCTCTTTCTGTCTTCTATTGATTTGAGTGACAACATTAATGTTATTTACATTTGTTACTGTGTTTTTTATTAAACAAAATTCTAGCACTTTTGTTTACAACATTTCACTACTACATTTCAAACACATCAGAGAAATGGAAGCATACTTTCCTGAGATCTCCAGTATTAGGAACCTTTTCTTTTTAATTTGAAATTTGCTTCTTAGTGATTTTATAATAGAACTAAAATGAGCCAAACAGAGACAGATAACGACAGACGGACAGACAGACAGACAGACAGACAGAGAGAGAGGGAGGGAGGGAGGGAGGGAGGGAGGGAGAAACAGAGACAGAGAGAAAAACAGATACAGACACAGAGAGAGAGAGAGAAGAAGAACCTATTTCTATTTCATTTTTTTCAGGGGGTATTTTATCTTCTTGGTTCCCTTCCAAAAAAAGGAAAAGGTATAATATTGCGGCAGAATTTTGATGCCCCATTAGATATCTGTTTTGGAAAAGGGCATCATCCAGAATAACAGTAGGTCCTTTGTCAGGTTATTCTGCTTGGTCAATTCAAAAGGAACTTTTTTGCAAATATGTCCACCTCTCTGACATGTCATCTTTGAAGAGTGTCTTTAAACCTCAGAGTTATTTCCTGTCCTTCTCTTAAGTCTGATTTTTTGAAAAATGCCATATAGGATGGATAAAAGGTATGATAAGTCCTTTTCATCTAATGGGAAACTGGTACTCCTTTGTATTCCCAGTGCTTCATTTAGGGACTGATACTGAGTAGGTGCTTAATAAATACTTATTGACTGATTGATGTGAAGACCCATTCATAGACAATTTGTTAGAGTTGGAACCTTACTGGTATGTTAGTCATACCTTCTCATTCTATGGATGAAGTAACTGAAGCCCAGAGTGGTGTGAATTATAATAATAACTACCATTCACATAATGCTTTAAGGATTACATAGTGCTTTTCATATGGTATCTCATTTGGTCCTCGCTACAAGTTCTGTGAAGTAGGTGCTGTTATTTTCCCCATTTTATAGAGGTTAATCTGAGAGTTAGAGAAATCAAGTGACTTGCCCAGAGTCACACAGCTAGTATCTGTGGCAGGATTTGAACTCATGTTTTCCTGTCTGGACTCCAAATTCAGGTGTCTAACAACTGGGCCACCTAGGTCTCTGATTACCAAGTCTAGTACCCTCTATATTCTCAGTCTTATGAAGATCAATCAGTCAATGAACATTTCTTAAGCACCTACTATGTGCTAGCACCATGCTAAGAATTAAAGATAAGGTAAAAGCATGGTCCATGCCCTCAAGGAGCTCATGTTTAGACAGGGGAGATAACATATAAATAACTATGAAAATGGAGTTTTATTTTAGTTGTCTCATTTAGATTTAAACATAAATTTCTAAAATTGACAGAGAAAAATAGTTATGATCCTGGAATCATAAAAAAATTCTCCTAGTTTGAAAAGTCTTGGTACTGTGAAGAAGGAAATGTCAGTAAACATTGATTAAGCACCTGCTATGTGCTGGACACTGTGCTAGGTGCTGGGAATACAAAAAGAAGCAAAAGGCAGTTTCTACCTTCAAGAAGCTCACAACATAATGTAAATAGCTAGCATTTATGTAGTGGCTACTGTGAGCCAGGCACTGTGCTAAGCACTTGAGAAATTTTATCTTATTTTACAGCCCTGAGAGGTAGGGTTGTAAGAGGTTACCTTACAACCATGAGAGGTAGGTACTATTATTATCCCCTTTTTACATTAGAGGAAACTGAGGCAAACAATTGCATGACTTGCCCAGGATCACACAGCTAGTGTCTGGGGTTAGATTTGAACTCAGGTCTTTCTCACTCCAAGCCCAGCACTCTCTCCACTGAGCCATTTAAGCCTCTTGATGTGGTTGGCCTTAGTCTTCTGCATGCTACTGGAAGCCTTCCACTCATTTTCTTACACTTAAATATATGGCAGCTAGGCACCATAGTGCATAGAATGCTGGGCCTAGAGTCAGGAAGAACTGAGTTCAAATCCAGCTTCAGATACTTCCTAGATGTGTGACCCTGGGTAAGTCACTTAACCCTGTTTACCTCAGTTTCCTCATCTGTAAAATGAACTGGAGAAGGAAATGGCAAACCACTTCAGTATCTTTGCCAAGAAAACCCCATAAGAGGTTACAATGTATCAGATACAACTGAACCACAACAACAAAAACATTGAAAGCATGGGGAGTGTGGTTTGGAGTATTAAAGGACAAGAAGATGCTCTGAAAAGAATTCATTGTTGTGCTTATTTGCTGCAATATGTGACTTCTCTTTTCTGTAATTGTTTTTTTTTTTTTAAAGGCAATTAACTGCAGCAATTTTTGATGTTTCTTTTCTCTTTCTGGGTTTTTTTTTCTTTTTGCACTTGGATATGTTAGCAATTACAGTAAGATCAGAAAAAATATTCTTTTTTTTTTCTCCATTCTCTCCCAGGATTTCCTGCTGCAAATTTTTACTGTATTTCGAATACTGATACGGCCTGAAATGTTTCCAAAAGACTGGACTGTCATGCGCTTGGTTGCTAACAAGTAAGACACTTATATGTTGCTTATATATACAGTTTTCTGTTTAGGGGGAGAAGAGTGTATGAAAGGATCTTCTGGAACTCTCAAATTACTGTTGACTATCTTCCCATTTCCCCGTATTAATTGATCTGCTAAAGTAAGCATGACATATTGGGAAGGTATCATGGTATATGGGGAAAAACCGAGCATATGCATAGGGTGAGAATTGGTTTCAATATACACTTGCCTAAGTGGTCTATGTATATATTTCCAAATCATCAGATAAGAGAGTGATAAAAGCTTTGGGACTATAGAGATTTTTATTAGACATGCCCAACATGGCTCCAAATGCAGCATACATTTATAGAAGCAGACGTGTTAAAACTTTGCAAAGTAGCAAATCATATAATATGGCGTAATGTATTTTAAATAACTGCAGAAGCAGTGTTGACAGTTCCATCTTTTCTGTTTTTGCAGACAAATCAGGAGTGTTGCTGCAGCCCTCTTTAGGGCTTGGAATATTTAGTGTGATATCGTGAGAAGAATTAAATTAAATTTCAGTTTAGTCAAAATCCAGGGCCCTGCATTTTTAGGTAGTACTTAGCACAGTGCTGGCACATACGAGGTGCTTAATAAATGTTTATTGATTAGTTGACTCTAGTACTTTTGTTCTGATGTTTGGTTGTGTTTACATTATTCCTAAATATGAGGATTGGTCAATTACAGTATATGATCTACAGACCTAGATGGGAAAATCAATAATAGGGAAACAAGGACACTGCTTCTTTGCCTTCTTTAGCATAAAAAAGAAATTAAAAAAAATTTTTTAGCCTATTTTGGTAACCAGTACTTGGGTTTTTTTTTTCTTTCAAAGGCTAGTGAGTTATTTGCTTTAGCTGTGAATGCAATTCAATTAAATAGACATTTATTAAATGCTTATCATTTATAAAGCACTGTGTTAGAAATAGAAAGATAAAAACCAAGGAATCAATCCCTGCCCTCAGGGAGTTTACAGTACAACAAAAATCAGGTAGAACCATATAGTTTTCAGGTTTGTTGATTTGTTTTTAATCTAGGACTAGCATTAATATTGCCAGGTCTGACCTTTGCTCAGTATGTCATGTCTATAGTTTTCTTTTTAATTTCTCCTATATCTTGTAGTTTTCCCCAATATTCAAGTTTTTTAGATATTTTTCTTCAAATGAGAAGAAAAATTAGATGACAATTCTTTAGTTTAAATAGCCATGTAAAACATGATGACTCACAAAATATAATAGTTGATATTTAATCAGAAATTCACCCTCAATCTTCATTATTATGGGGCAGCGAGGTGGCACAGGGGATAGAGTATGAGCCCTGAAGTCAGGAAGACCTGAGTTCAAATCCAGCCTCAGACATTTACTGGTTCTCTGACCCTGGGCAAGTTACTTAACCCTGTTTTTCTCAGTTTCCTCATCTGCAAAATGAGCTGGAGAAGAAAACGGCAAACCACTCCAGTAACTCTGCCAAGAAAACCCCAAATGGGGTCACGAAGAGTCAGACATGACCAAAATGACTGAACAAAAATCTCATCATTATTTTATTGCCTAAGAAATATTACTGGAGGGGCAACTAGGTGGTGCAGTGGATGGAGCCCCAGCCCCGGAATTCAAATCAGGACCTGAGTTCAAATCTGGTCTCAGACACTTGACACTTACTAGCTGTGTTACCCTGGGCAAATCACTTAACTCCATTGCCTAGCTACTGGCCCTCACTCCCCACCCCCCCCCCAAATAAGAAATATATAATGGTGCTGATGAGGATCTGGTCCTGCAGGCCCAGCCTACCTCTCCAAGAAGCATTTGGTCTCAGTTGCAAACTGCTTCATTCTATAAGATGATCAATGCCATGATTCCAGCAAAATAACTTGTTCTTCTGACCTAAAAACTACTTTTGCTCCAACCCTTCTACAAGGCATTATATTTACGATTCTTCTCCTCATCTAGCTCTCCATTTTAAGGAGATTTCCCTTTGCTGAATTTATCCAGCTTAGATATTGGGAGACAGGGGAGGGACATGGGAGAGACCTGTGTTAAAGAGGATCTTTGAGACTGATATCTATGCTGGTTGTGCCAGCAAGATTACTAATCCTTTCTTTTAAGGTTTACTGTCAGTGTAAGCCAGTCTTTCACTATTACCAACTCCTTTAAGGACCTAATTGTAAGCTCCTTAAGGGGAGGGACTGTCTTTTGCATCAAATACAAATATTATGGCATTTGATCCTCACAGCAATCTTTTGAGGTAGGTGCTATTGTTATCCCATTTTAGAGTTGAGGAAACTGAGGCAGGTAGAGGTTAAGTGACTTGCCTTGGGTCATAGAGCTAGCTAGTAAGTGTCTGAAGCTGGGCTTCTGTACTCCAAGATCTTTGAGTTTTGACTGTCAGCATCATCACAGCCCTATTATCCCTTAGGAACCTATATTTTTTTTGTCCTTTGCAATTCATTTTATGCCTCAGCCCTTCCCCTTTCTCCAAATATATTACTGTTAGATAATGACCATCTTGCACATGTTATCCAAATGCCATATTATCAGTGTATTTGTTTATGTTTCTTTGTGCTTGAATATCTGGAAATATCTAGATGATTAGCTAATTTTGTTGATGTTATTGTTTTCATGTGGCTATTTAGTATATCCATCCTTGTGAAAACCTTAAAAAAAAGACTGATCTGACACATACTGTCTTTGAGACCCCAGGCAAGTCATTTTATCCCTCACTGTCCCCGGACAATTTTCAAAGGCACTCTATCCACTGAACAGGCCAAACTCTGGGCCGACAAAGAAAGGCAAAATCATCTCTATTATCAAAAAGTTTACAGATACCATATTTGTATGGTATTTGGATGCACAGTACTTAGCAGAATGTCTTACAGCAGGGCTCCATTAAAGTTTCTTGAAATGAATGGGGTGTAGATTGAATGCAAACTGAGGGTTCTTAATAAATGTAATGGTGAAAGAGAAATCAGCAGCCCAAATTGGTATAGGAGGAATATAATGGAAATTAAAATGAAGGACCAAAAATACAAAGCATTTTAAAGGTAAGTCTCTCCCCACCCTCAACCCGTGTGTATGCTGGGGTATTAAAATAAACCAATCATTATGTATTTGGGGTGGGGGGCAGGAATAAAAAGCTTATGAGCTTATGAGCTTAGCACTGAAGAAAATGAAAACACTTTTTCCTGAACAGAATTGGCTTGAAAGCTTTCCTTCATGATTCATTGCTGTTTTATTCCTGGAGATCACTGGGGTTATTTTAGAATGCTTTATGAAATCATTGATTTAGTAGAGTTACAGGGAAACTTAGATATCAGTCTAATGTCATGGTCCTGAGACCTTTACATCTGGCTCAGTGTTTGTCCATTCTAACTGCTGTGTTTAGGTATATTTGGGTTTACTTTGGGCCTTTCAGGGGTTCAATCTCAGTAACCTGGAAGTTTTGGCTTGTGGTAATCACAAACCAATAAAAATTCTAATTTAAAGTCAAATGGCCCTATGAATACACACTTCTGATTCTAACATGATGTGAATCTATGTCTAACCAGACAGATAAGGAAATTCAAACCCTAACAGATTATATAACTGTTGAATTATAGGCAGCTAGCTGACACCTTGCCTAGAGCACTGAATTTGGAGTCAGGAAGATCTGAATTCAAATCTTGCCTCAGACAGTTACTAGCTGTTGACCCTAAACAAGTCAGTAAGCCTCAGTTTCCTCATCTGTGAAGTGGAGATAATAACAGCACTTACCTTCCAGGGTGGTTGTTGTGAAGTTCAAATGAGATAACATATATAAAGTTTTTAGCAAACCTCAAAGCATCACATACATACTAATTGTTGTTATGATTATTATTATTATTTTTGTGACTTTCTCAGGATTACACAACTAATAAGAAACTTTAAGCCCAGGTCTCATAACTCCAAGTGTAGTATTCTCTTTGATATATTGTGTTAAATTGAATGTATCAGCTTTACATGGATAATACAGGTCATTATTTAGCCATGTGGATTTAGACACTAGTGTCCAAATGGAGGATTTGATTTCTTGTCATCACAGCATCACACCTAGTGTTTTGCCATTCCTGCTCAAGGGATCTGGGATGTTTTCTACTTCAAAGATCATGCCCTTGTTAATGTTTTCCCTTTACATTTTCTATCACCTCATCAGCACATTCAATTTGCTAATTAAAGTGATAAAACTATTTTACATTGTGAGAAAATCATAAGGGTACGCAGGATTGGTAAATTTGTCATTCCATTTGGTCAATTTCTAATTCTTTGCCACTATAAAAAGAGCTGCTATAAATATTTTTGTACAAATAAGTCCATCCCCCCCCCCTTTTTTTAGATTTCTTTGGGATACAGACCTAGTAGTAGTATTGTTGGGTCAAAGGGTGTACATGGCTTTGTAGCCCTTTGGGCATAGTTCCAAATTGCTCTCCAAAATGTCTAGCTCAGTTCACAACTCTGCCAACAGTGTATTATTGCCCCAATTTTCTCACATTGCCTCCAACATTTATTATTTTCCTTTTCTATCCTATTAGCCAATCTGATAAGTGAGAGTTAGTACCTCAGAATTGTTTAAATTCCATTTCTCTAATTAGTACTGATTTAGAGCATTTTTTTTGTGTAACTATAGATAGCTTTGATTTCTTATGAAAGCTATCTGTTCATATTCTTTGACCATTTATCAATTTGGGGAATGAGTTGTATTCTTATACATTTGACTCAGTTCGCTGTGTATTTGAGAAATGAGGCCTTTATCAGAGAAATTTACCACAAATTTTTTTCTCAGCTGCTTTCCTTCTAATCTTGGCTGCATTGGTTTTGTTTGTGCAAAAACCTTTTTAATTAAATATAATCAAATTTATCCATTTTACATCTTGTAATGCTATTCTTGTTCAGTCATGAATTCTACCCTTATCCATAGATCTGACAAGTAAACTATTCCACACTCCCCTAATTTACCCTTCACATCCCTCTTTATGT